TTTTAATGATTTTTCCATCCCAAGTAGAGACCAACCACAAAATCTGAGTCACTGAGGTCCTCATACTTCAGAAAAAATTAAGAACAACAATCTGCTTCGTTAATGTTTGAGGCACTGGTTTGTTTAAAGAGAGATTATGGCACTTTTATTGTCAAACAGAACATAGACTTTGGCCTGGTAATCATTGCGTCAACCCCAGTAGTTTTCTTGGCGTGTCAACTGCACGTTCTGGATCCATGAATAAACTATTATGACACTCAGCCAAAACACACTTTTGTATATAAATCAGAATTGTGAGCACTTACTCTACAATGTTTGTCCCCGTGATGTACATATGATACACCTGGAACTTCTGAGCAGTCTGTCTATGCTGGTGCACAGTATGTCAGTTCATTATGGATTATAGAAACTTGTGTTATTTGCTCAGATTTCATCCAGGTGAAGATCACTCCAAAAGATTAGAAGTAGGTATGCTTTGGCAAATATGATGTAGATGAAACAGTTAACTTGTATTTGGATTTGCGATGGTGAAAATTTGTTTCCCTGAGATTTTCATATTTAAGATCAAACCCAAAGTTTCATGGAAATTGTAATTATTTTTAGTTACAAAAGTGGTAGAAAGTACACTTCTTGTGTAGTAAGTTTACAAGATGGAAGTACAAAACATACTACTTTTATGGCAAATGACTTGTTTGAAGTTCATTAGTAGAGCTTTAAAATGAGAGTTCCACTGCAGATTTGGTAAAAGTTCAGTTGACCATGAAGTCACTGTGTGTGTTGAACTGAACTGAACTGAGGACAGAATTAACTTACAGCTTGTCTTATTGTCATGGCAATTAAACAGAAAATTATGCATAACTGAAATAATTTTAAGTTCCATCCATTTCATTTTTTCTACTAGTTTTAAAATTGCAATACACAGGAAACATTTTAACTAGGATTTGTACATTTTATTCCAACTCTTTTAGAAAAAATTTAAAATAGGTGTATCTGGCACTGGTTAGTGCAATATATTTCAGTGAGTTCCACAAGGTTATATTTATTGATCTCAGGCCTGCAAGGCTATTGACTACTCTCTGTTTATTAAAAGTCAAGGAAGACATGGAAATTTTTGGCAAAGTAAGTACTGTAATACTGGGACAACGATGGGTGATTTATGAAACACATTCTGCACTCGTGGCTGCTCATATTCTTGACTCAAGTATCAGCAGTTTTTAGTCACCTGACCCTTCATCTTTTGAATTTTAACTTCTGTGGCATGAACCGAAAGAACGAAGAGAACAGAGGAAATGTATTTCTGCATTCCAAACTCGCTTAATTTTCAGTCAAATAATTTAATTGCAGAGTCCCTGTAATGGCAAAAAGCAAGGAAATCAACAGGTATGATATACTCCACTCAGTACACACTTCACTCATTATTTCTGCTACTCAGCTTGCTCAGTTGCTTTCTCCCATCTCTTTTTCTCTTAGTTACCAAGGTATGTCCTCTTTAATGTATGTGTTTACGAGTTGTTATAGGATTGGGATGCCAGTCATTGATTTAATTGTATCCATTATATTTGACTGATTTTATACAGGTCAGTTGTGACGCTGATTATATACTGAAGAAGGAATATTTGGGAAATTTGGAAAATCACCAGGAAAGTGTGATCTACAGATGCCTGTGTCTCTTCTCTGCCTTCTGAGAACTTCATCCTTCCCTCTACATTGTCTTTCAGTCCCTTTTCTTCCTCCCATTCAGTGACTGCTGCTTCTCCCTGGGCACTGAGAACCCTTTGATACAGGTAATTTTCTCTCCTATTTGTAAGTGACCCGCAATGTACCTTCATAAGAAAATCCTGATATTGTCACAGAAGGATATAGCATCCACAGGTCCTCAGGGGTGGTGATTATAGACAGTTTAGAGAAAAGGGCTGAGGAATGTCACGTATTAAAATGGGCCATCATGGTCATCCTTGCTGACCTCATGCTCCAGAATTTCATCTCTAATTATCTATGCATCAAGGTTTATGATGTGCAACCAAGTAAACCTTTCAGAATCTTTAGTCCTGAATTTTTATCCTAAACCGTAGAAAGATTATGGGAATTTGCTGCATCTCAGACACCTGTATACAGCTTCCATCTCTTACAAGAATTAATTTTAACAATTAGGAAGGAAATATTATTTAAATGATAATGTGTAGAACCATTTTGTCGTGGTAATAATATTGCTCAGCCTTCCTACATGCACCAACAAGCTTTACCTTCCTCAGTCACTATAAGTCCTCTCTCTCTGTCCCTAATTTTTCCTATGTCTGTCTTCAAATAATTGTTTATTCATATACCTATTCATCCTCTTATTTTTTTGGAAGTAGACTATCAAAAATGTTACCAGAACATGTGGACACTAGAAGTTGACAGTGTGGGGACCTAAGATTGATTTTGTGGAGGACCAGTGAATATTATAGCATTTCACAAGGAGACTTTTGTGTATTTCCTCTAAAAGGGTTAGTGGCAAGGTATGGAAATAACCTTATGTAGGAAAAGTGTTTGTGTTGGGGCTCCAAACTTACTGTGTCAAACTTGAAAGCCAAATTCTAATGCTGAAGGGTGAAGGAAGTGTGAATCTTAGTGCATCCATAACTGTGATGTTGCAACTGAAACTTCTCCAGCATTCCTGTGAGGGACATGTCAGTGCACACCTGGCACTGTGTTTCCATCACTCTTGCTCGTGTAAGATTTAATCCAACCTTCAGGGTTCTGTTTTTCTTAGCCATTATACTGGGTGTTGCATTTGCTTGTCTGCTTTCAATACTCATTAGAAAAAGGTCCACAGACAGTATCTATGAATGCAAACTATATCACCTGTTGTTAGCTTATTCTTTGGTACAAACTGACCATACCAAGATATGCACAACCAGCTTCACCTTCAAGATCTTACAACTCCTTTTTCAGTCCTTCCCATTGGTACCTATGCAAATGCTCACACTGGATTTATTGAGTGACACCTGGGAAAGCCTCAGCTTAACTCCCTGTGTAAAATTCCTGCTAAACTTAGTAGGAATCTTAAAACTTCAAAGAACACGTAAACCTTGAGAAGCTTTTACTGGAGATGTAACTGCTGCTTAGAGGAATGGTTTTCAACTTCCCTAGAAAGTAGCAGGGCTTTTAAATTTAGGAGACACCTTAACAAAATTGGTCCTCTCATCTCAAGGTGGTTTTTATATTGAGATGACATAAATTGGATTTCAATGGCTTCTTATTTAAAAAAAAATAAATCTTTCTCAAGGTCAGATAAAAAATGTAGGATAGTCAACTGCATGCAGGAATCTGCTCCTCACCTCACCATCCGTTGCACCCCTGTGCATTTTTAGGATATATTTTCAGGGATTTTTTCTCCTTTTTTTTTTTTCTGACCAAAAAATTGGATGAGCCAATGAAAATAGTCCTGCCCAGAGGCATCCAAATTTTGCTAACCAGATCAAAACTAGGAGGTCATTTAATTCTATACTGATACTCACATAGTACATGGCTAGAGTTCACCATAATTAAATATATCAGCATGCTGATGAAATGCTCTCATTTAAGTAGCACTCATCACAGCAGTTAATAGTCCATCAGAAAAGCATAATAATAGTATAGGAATACAATAAATAACAAAAGATGTGTGCATTTTCATTGGCCAGGAATTAATATCTCCTACTCAGAGAATAGGAATTTGCTTATAGTGCAATTTTTGAGAAATAGCCCAGCATTAATTGCACAAATCAAGTTTTCCCAGCAGACCAGCGTACAAAGAAATTAATATACATAAAAAATAAGGGTCAGCTTGATGTGTGTTTCAGCAATCAGGTTAAAAGAATTCTTTCTGTGTAATTATACATAATGTGTTTTGGTTAGAACAATTTAATTAAGAGACTATACACTGTGAAAGAGAAAAATAAGAGTGCTGTTTGACTGGGGCACTGTTATGGAAAGTGATAGCATGATACCATTAGGAAACTCAACGAAACAATCTACATTCATGCATTTAGAGAAGCAGAAGTCTGAACATCTGTTTCCCGCTATTGAATTCACAAAACGGGCTTTGCTGTGCAGGGAATAAGTGAAAAAAACCCCAACATTTGGAGAAGATTATCTCTGACATTTAACAAAATGCTAAAATGTCACAAAAATGACGTAAGATGAGAACGAAATGACTGAAATTAAGGTGTGCTAAAGGTTAGTTTGGCAAATGAAGCACTGATAGACAAGAACAAGCCAAGCCTCTACCCATAACTCTTTTGAAAGTGTACTATAAGAATGATCAATTTATCAACAGCATACTTTTTTGTTCAAGATAGACTACCAGGTGGCATGAAATGGTTTTGGAGAAACATGCAATAAAGAAGAGTTCCCCGCGATATTTTTTTAACTAGGAAAAAAAAAAGTGGCAATTAAAAGATGTGCCTATAAGTGTTAAAAAAATCCAGAGATAATAGCCAAATTAAAGAAAAAAATCGAGTTTTATCTTGGATGTGAAATTTTCCTTTCTCCTTTTCTTTTCCTTTTCCACAATCAAGAGTCTTGGAAAGGGAGTAATAATAATAAAAGAGAAATGGAACTAAGAACCGACTCGCTGCCAAGGGCTGTAACACAATATCTCAGCATTTCAAGGGTAAATCAGTGTGAACTGCGTTTGCCGTCCCTCTGAAAAAAAAAAAAAGTAAGTATTTAACTTCCGTTCAGTCAGTGCGGACTGCTGAAGGATAGGAAATCGGTGTCAGAGAGGGGGGAAAAAAAAAAAAAAAAAAAAAAAAAAGGAGGGTTTCCCAAAGCGAGCAGAGCGGAGCGGACAGAAGTATGAAGAGCGGCAGCGCCGCTGCCACCGCTCTGCTCAGCTCCGCTCGGGGGGACGGCGGCGGCTGCCGGGGGCAGGGGGCCAGGGAGTGCGGCCCCGGAGGGGCGGCAGGAGCCCTCCCTGCCTGTCCCCGCCAAGGCGGGAGCCCTGCCTGCCTGTCCCGGCCAAGGTGGGAGCCCTGCCTGCCCGCCCCAGCGGGGCTCGCTGCCGGCCCCACGGCGGAGCCCGCCGCGCCGGCTCCTTTAAATTGAGGGCGTTTCGTGCATCTCGCCGGCTGCCTTCGAGTTTAAAGAGAAAGGGGCCGGAGCGAAGCGGGAAGGTGAGCTTTGCCCGGCGGCTCTTCGCTGCGGAGTAGGTGCTTGTGTTTGCTTTCCCCCGTGTCCCGAGGCAGCGGCAGGGCTCGGCTCGGCGGGCACCGCGCTGCACGGCTGCCCCTGCCTGCCTGGTTGGGGGGGTTTGTGGGTTTTTGGTGTGGGGTTTTTTTGTTGTTGTTGTTGTTTTCCTCCCGCTTTCTGACTGTGGGAGTTCGAAAGCATCGCGGAGGCGGAACGAGAGCGTGCGCGGGTGCGTGACGGAGGTCCAGCAGCGGTTCCCCCGGCGCTCGCCGCGGCCGGCCGGGGGGTTGCTGGCCGGCTGCCCCGGGCATCCCGCGGAGGGTCTCCGTGGTCCTGCCCCCGAGGGGCAGACCTGGGAGCAGCGCTTCCAGCGCTCATGGCAAAGCCATTAGCTCAGCCTGACTGCGGAGGGGCTCCGAGGAGGACAAACCGCATCGGGCTCCGCGGCGGGTGAGAGCAGGGCGGGCAAGACGGAACGGAGAGGGGGGTTGGCTCCTGCTCCTACTGTGCGCTATCCCCCGGCCCCAAACTCCGGCTTGCCTGTGAGGCTGCTCCACGCAGCCCTTGGGGTGCCGGCGGTGCGAGAGGAGGAGGAGGAGGAGGGCGGGTTTCTACGTGTGCAGAGCCCGTGGGAAATGGGAGCGCCCGCCCGGGGGCTGCGGCAGCGGCGGGCGGGAGGCGGCCGAGCCCCGCTCCGCTGCAGCGCTCCCGGCTCGCCCCTCCGCCGCCCCCAGGGGCAGGAGGACGAGACCCCTCTCGTGCCAGAAGCCGCCCCTCCGGGTTCTTGCTTTCCTCTTCAGGCTCTAGATTCCAATGCTCCGAGGGCAGAGTTTGCTCTCTAAGGAGGAGGCTCTGTTTCTTTACTAGTGCCCTACGTACGAAGGTTGCTGTCTTCCTTATCCAGGATCGCTATCAGCATCCTGCTGCAGTGGTGTGTGTCATCCGAGCCTGCTACGTCTCTGCGTGCTCCTAGGGGAGAAGGGCTCTTGGGACACCAGGACGGGTGCGTTGCAGGCTCCCCAGTGCAGTTACTGCATACTTTTGACGTTACTCTGAAATTAAAAATTAACAAAGTATTATTGGTTTTCCATGTACCTTAAATTATGTATTTTTTTTTTCATTGTGCAGCAGATGTTGTGCCAAGTGTAATGGTTTTGTGACATGGATTGTGATTTAATAGGAAATTTCTAAATAGGACATTTCTAAATTCTCATCGGGTGGTGCCATAGGCGATTGGATCAGCATTATACCATGGTACCATAGTTGTAACCACAGCCAAACCTAGGTGGAGGTGGTGAGGTGCTGAAGAGTCAGTACTGTCCTCAAGTTCTAGCTCTCACTGACTTTAGCCCACTTACTTATTTGGTCACTTTATTTGTTTTATCCCCAGTCTTATTTAAATTGGCACACTTACTATCCAAAGTACCTCTTCAACTCCACTTTACACCTCTCAGTTAAACTTAACACTAATTTCAGGACAGGATTTAGAAATGGAACATCATAATTAAAAGCAAAGCTGACGACTGGGAGTCAGCTTGTAAGCACACTATGCAGACAGTATTACAGCAAGAGACACGCTTCTGCTCCTTGTAAGATACAATATGCCAGTTTAAATATGTATTTCGTTTTCTAATTGGTGGAGGTAGAAACTTCTTTTGTACTAATTTTTAGTGGCTAGTTTGCTTAGACAAGCAGAAAAACATACAATAAGAGCCAGGTAAAGAGAAATCAACTTCAAAGTTTTTGGACTGTGTTAGGAATCAGGCTCAGTTTCCAGAAGTTATAATTTTATGAGCAAGTATATATTGAACATTCCTGAAGGTTTTTTTGGTCTACGTGAGAAGGACTTTCTGCTTTCCTTTGGGTAGAGGAGACATTATCAAGGCAATAAAATTGTTTCTGCTAGGCATAGTCCTGAAAATATCTAGGCTTCCAATGATTAGATCAGATTTTTAAGTGCAGTTAACTTTGTTTTGGTCTGGCTTCAGACCAAGAGCCTTACAGGTCTAAACTATTGGTAAGCTGTTGTGCCAGGTTCTCCATCCTCCCCTCGAAGCTCTGCACACGTTTGTAACGTATATTCATAACGTAAAGGACAAAGGCTTCTTGTGATTAAAGCTTACTTTATCAGTGTAGATCACATTTTGATGTAAGCCATGAAAAATTCTAATTGATTAATGAGTTTCAGATGGTGGTTCCCCTTCAGTGCCCCTCCCCCTGCTCCTAAATGTACAGTATGCTCCAAGTTAATCTGGGAAAGCTCCAGAAACCTTGGGCTAAATTGGTTGTGGTATAGTTTATAAGGATAATAAAATAACTAGAATAATTGAATTTCCTTATAAAGATATGCTCGCTGCATTTGTCAGCTTATGTTTTATCTGCTCGTTTATGGCAGTGAGCAAACTAAGATTACAGGTATGTGTATTTAGGAGGATGCAGGCAAGAATGACCTGTTGTTTCCTACAGACAGGAAAGCTCTGCAATAGCTCTGGAAGAGGATCTATGCGAAGTAGTAGCAGAATCACTTTAAAAGTGATTGTGTTTGTTTTTGTGTACATAAAAGAGCAAAATGAAAGTGATTACTGTTCTGTAGTAAACTGGAAATTGCAGGTGGTAAAGACTGACTTGGTAACATATATCAGTGAGTGGCAAGTCTGTTTTTTTCCTAACTGCTTCTTTTAGTCCATTTTAAGGATTTCAAGTAAGGGAGCTTTCACAGTTTCACTTGGGGAAATCATTCCACTGTCTGGCAGATCTCACCATAGGGAACAGTTTCCTGACATTAAAAATATCAATTACAGAAGTTGTTAGTTACTTCTGTGGCTCTCAAAGGAAGGCATTCCTGTATCTTTTTTCCTCCTCTTTCTGCATATATGTGTGTGTATACACATTTGTATGTATGAGTGAGGGGATGGAAAAATGAGCAGTTTTTAGTCTGTGGACTAATGTTATACTCTCCAAATCTGAAAAATATGCCAACACTGGGATGGGAACATTGAAATCAGTTTTAAAATGTGAATGTATTTGTTCTATGTCTGTAAAACTGTCACTTGATGATGTGACAGTGGGGGCAAGATGTTGCAAGTATGGGCACCAAATTGTGGGCAGCTTCACTTCTGCTTGCATAAATATGCATTTTGTTCTGCAACTTAATCTGTTTGTGAACACTGAATCTTCTACTTCAGCTTCTTTTGCACCCAACTTGCCATTACAGTAAGTGAATGCTTCACACAGTCCACAGAAACTCCAGTAACGTTTCAAAAGTTCTTTTCCATCTGCTTGAGGTGATTAGAACAGGCAGGGAGATCCAGCAGAGGCCCTTGCCAGATACTCATGAGCTCTGTTCTGGCTTTTGATCCTCTGTCTCCTCTCTTTCCAGGATGGCTGCTTTCCAATAGCATTACCTTCTCTCTAAGACAGCAGGAGATTGTCTGCAGTTATAGCTGATACCCCTCTGTCAAAGCCAATGTGCAGTCTAGCACTCAAGTTCCAGTTCCTCCAGAGAAAAACTTGTGCTGCTGTTGTCTAAGTTGCTGTCTGCTCCCTCTGCCACTGATTGGAGAGCTGTTGCACAGTTGTGTGCATAATAACGTTTAGTTTCTTCTACAAGTAATGGCTAATATGCCTCCTGAGTCACAGCACATCTCATTGCACAAGCTTCAAGCCTCCCTATTTAATACTGTGAAGATTTTCTGAAAAAGAATGCTTGAACCCTGGGTCCGAGGCAGAGTTTTGCCACCTTCTGTTGCAGTTTTCCAGCTCTGTAGAGCAGCTAGGCCACTGAACTGGCATATGTGCTAATCTTCAGTCCTGGATAACTCTGGTTTGGCTGCCAAATGCACAGAGCCAGTCAATGAGCTTGCCTGCTAAGGCAGGAGTGCCTGGGTGGGCCAGTCCAGATGTCTACACACAGTGTCCAAGTCAAGCTGTTACGGTGCAAAGGGGACACTGTGTAGGACCTTTGCATCAGAGATGATTTGATTGATCACTATATAGAGTTCTGCATTTGCTTTATGGCGTATTTTTTCCCTCCACAGACTCTTTTAGATATATTTTTATTCTTTTCTAACGGAATACAAAGAAAAATGCTTGTTCCACTGGATACTTAATTTCTATGCTAGTTCTTAAGCCAAGTCATAAAGAGCAAGTGATTCAGCAAGACTTCTTCATTCCTGACCTGGAAGGATTGTATGTAGGAGCAAGTTAAAGGAAATGGTTCAAGCCTCCTTTTGTTTGAGAATTAATGCACATGTTGTAATTAGGAACCAGGCTGAAGCAACAATGAAACTCGTGTGATACAGAGGGCACTGCATAGCCAGTAGCTTCCCAGTGTAGGTTATGCATCTTCTGCAGGGGCTGGATGAGCAATCTGGAGTAAAATCTTGCTGGTTTATGTGATTAGCTAGCAGGGTGGAGCAGATATATTTTCTGTGTGTGTATGTATACATATGCATACATGCACCCTTTTATATATGCATTTTTCCTATATATAATTTTCCCCATATATAATTTTCCCCCCTTTTATTATATATACTCAGTTGAAGAAAATTATTATCACAATTTTACAGATAAGGAAGGCAGTTGGAATAGGAAAGGGAATTGAATCCAGGGATCTGCAGCTGTGAGGGCTTCACTGTGCATCCAGTTCTACTTTCTAGATTAAACAGTCTTTTCCTCCTGTGTGTTTTGAGTACAGAGATTCTTGATTCCTTTTGTTCTACCAGTTAACCCCAACAAAAGCCAGTGGAATTACAAAAGATCACTTGTTTGATTCTCATTGCTTTCACCTGATGATCAGTGATAACAATCAACAGCTAGTGTAAGTTACACTGCTGGCAAAATACAAGCAGTGAACTACAATACAGAGGCAGCTAAATGCACTACTGTAAAGCAAAATAAGAACTTCACTGTTTGGTAGGAGCAAGCAGAGAGAAATAGGACCTTTCAGTGTGTTGAATCTGATACAGGTCACTGGGTGTACTGTGAACTATCCCACACTGAATTCTTCATCTAGACAATAAGTCTTAGGAATCTGAGATGTCATCCTCTTATTGAGAGAGGTGGAAAAAAAAAAAAGCTGTGCTGCATAAATATGACCTGTAACAAAACAGAATGAAAAGTAGTTAAAGACGGTTCCTTGTCCCCATTCCGAATAGCAGGTGGAAGCAGTTGCTTTATAGCATTTAGAGGTAAGTTTTGAAAATGCTTCTGCATATCACGTCAGCCTGAACAGTTTATAGAGAAGTGTAACATTCTGTAAAATATTTGACATGTTTGCGTTGGCTAGTTTTGAACAGCTGTATATATGATGATTTGATGTTGCTGTTAGAAAGTAGTGAGATTAGGAAACCCAGTATTTTTTGGCTACTTTTGTTCATACTTTATATCTGCCAAAAAGGAAAGGATGAAATAGTCATTGGAGCCAGAGGCTTGCCTCAGCTGTGGTGAGGTATCCTTGAAAGCTGCTGTCTGCCTTTGAGGCAAGTTAGCCCATTTTTCTGACCAAATTCCTCACTGATAAATTTTCAATAAACTTTTCTTCAGTTCACTAGAAAATAAGTATGTTTGGATATTTTAGGGAAGGGAGTTGAAGGTATCTGAGCAATGAGTCAAGAGCCTGGCCTTGACCACGTATAGAATCTTCAAAGGGGTCTTGGAAGAGCTCAGGACTCAATTGCTCTCATAACACCTTCACATAACTAACTCATTTTGTCTTCTTCACAGATCCCAGCTACTATGTGATGAAGCTGTAATAGTTAATGTCTGGGCTACTACAACTAATGAAGTAGATAAACATTTTAATGAAACTTGGGCACTTCAGTGCTGAAGTATTGTGGAGGCTTAAATTAAATTTACAAGTACAGTAGCAATCAGTGTTTGCGTGAAGAATAATTCAGAGTTTGATAGTTTCTGATGCTTGCAGTTTGATAACTGACCTGCTGTGTTACTTGTAGGGTTTGTGACAGGAGATGCGAGTAACTGATTATGCTCTGCTCCTTGAGAGCATAATTTAATTTTAAAAATCCAAGGTAGAAATTTTGTGGCTCTGATTCTAGCAGGGAAGTATTTTATTGAAGTGTAGAGCAGGTTTTCAGAGAAGTAGTGGGGAAGGGGAAAATTCATTTTTTCAGAAATTAAATTAAAGAAAACTTACACAGAAGTAAGGTTGGATTGTGTGTGATTTGTCTGTGATTCTTCAGGCTCTTCAGTGTAGACTTTCTCATTTTCCAGTCCTCACTTTGCATGTCTGCTCCGTAAATAAACCCATGCATTATTGTTAATTCAGGGCTACTGTTTCAAGCAGACTGAGCCCCACTATAGAGATACCCGAATCATTTTCACCTTCTAGAAATTTTTGTCACCTATCTGCCTTTCATCATCTTTTCAGTTTCCCATTCTAAGAACCTGTGTCCTATTTAAACTACCTAAAACCCTTCTTGTCTCTGTATCTTCTCTCTTTTTACTACCACAGTTACTTAGAAACTCAGGCACCCTTGCATCCTCCAAAACCTTTGTTCTCTCACTTTTCTTCCTTCAGGGAGTCTCAAGTCTCTTGAGGCCTTCACTAGGCTTGATTGGTGAGTTAGGTCAGTATGAAACATATTTAAAGACAACCGTGTATTTTAGAGATGAAGTAACATCTCAGCTCCCTGAAATCTCTGCTCTGTGTCTCCTCAGAAACCAGCCTGAAGCGTAAACAGACTGCAGTGCTTGTTGCACAGGCTGATGGGGAAACCCAAACCTTTTCCATGTAGCAGCCCCAGAAGCCTTCCCTCTGTTTTCTCTTAAGAAATGTAACTTTCAAACCTTGGAATGACTTCAGCCCCACCAGTGACAGCGGCATGTATTGCATCTGACTGGCTGTCAGGCATATCATAATGTTGGTGATTAATTAGCCCCAAGTCCCATAGGGCACTCCATATGCAGGGTCTTGGAAGTGATGAAGGAGGTGGACCTTTCCTGAGGTGAAAGAAAAGGGTGTTGCCTCTGTTGTTTCCCTCCTGACACATCACAGTTCAGTGTGTGTGTGCCCTTCTAGCAGGGCAGCCCCTGCTTAAGGTTCTGTGATTAATATTGCTGGGTGCATCCTTGAAATATAACAGAATTAACTCAGGTTGGAAGGGACCTCCGAGGGTCATCTAGTCTAACCCCCTCCACAAAGCTTGTATGAGCTGTGAAATTATCTCCTGTGAAGAGCTGCAATGTCTAACTGGTTCCTTTAGTACAATGGTTCTGCTTTTTCAGGTACATTTTTCTGATCTGTATGTAAAGAAAAACAAATTGCAGGATTTTGGTTCCTAAATACTTAGATATGCAGGTGTTAATAAACTGAAACATTGGTGCAAAAAAAATACTTTGCTTTATTTGTGTGCTGTACATGAATTGAACATTCAGGAATGAGGATTTTTTTAAAGCTACAATATTTTACCAATATAATTTCAGAGGTCATCCAAGAGAGCAATCTAGTTTCAGTTCTGGTTCTCACTGTATCAATGGAGTTTATAGACTCCAGAAATCAGTCAAAATTTATTTGAAGGCTCTATAAATACCTCTATATGGCAGAGCTATTTATACTTGATTTTTCCCACATAATCTTTTAAGACAAGGTGGTGTCAACCATCTTACCTCTCTTTCTTTCCAAAATGAAGCAGTGATTTGAAGGACTAATTTGTGTGGTTCTGAGTGACTTAGAGCAACTTTTAAATATACTGTCATTGAAATTCCTTAGCTGTTGGTAGCTTCTAGTCTGAATCGATCTATTTTGAGAGTGACATTCCAGATTGATTTTTGCAGAGCTAACAAGCCCAGTTTTTCTCCCTCCCTCCCCTCCCTCATACCCTACCCTAAATGAACAGGTATGATTTGAATTTAATTAACCAGGAAACCATAAATCCAATCTGACATTTTTACAAAGTCAGCTTTCAGAACAGAGCTGTGCTTAAATTGCGTACTGGGGTGCCTTAAACTTCTCTGCTCTGAAAGGATACATGAAGATTTTTTTTGTTGTTAGAAAAATGTGAAATCTACTCATAATTCAGAAATGCATGTTTATACAAGAGAATAAATCTTTTTTTTAAAGTCTATTTTACCTTCACCCCAACTGAAAAAATTGTCTAATTTCAGTAAGAAATATATTTGTGGTGAAAACTGTGTCTATCTCAAGGGCAAGGTAAACTTCAGGATTGTGGGATGAGGTACTGTCAACAGGAGCTTAAGGAGATCTTTTTATAAGCAAGGAGTTTACTTACCCCAAGTATGGTTAAACAATGCTGGAGTATTAATACAAGTATATCCCAAGTAGCATTACATATTGTAGCAATACATATGTTTGGAAAAGTCAGTTACAGCACAATTTTATGTTAAGGCAATTGGTTTTGGTTTTGATTTGGTTTTTTTTACATTTAGTAAGTATTTTCCTTTTTTGACAAAAGAATTGTTTTCAGTATTCTTGTTATTCCAGGCTGTAATGGATACTATAGCAAATTGTTCTTTTTCTTTTTTCCTTCTGTGGTTCTTAAAGTCACAAACACTTGTTACCTGGTTTGAAAGGTATGCAAAGGACAGAAAGAAACAGTGTTTGGAGAGTGCCATAAGTTGAAGGCAGCTGACATGTGTAATCACAGTTGGTGTGGATCAACCAGCTGACAGAACTATTCCTTATGGATCTCACATTCACTTCATGTCTGTCTAGTGCCACCTCCACAAGACCTGATGGCTGCTTTTCAGCAAGCTCCAGCCTGCCAGGCAAGGAAGTGTCTCAGCTCGTTGCTACAAGTATTAGAGTCTAGGTCCGAGGTTCTTTCAGAGAGGAAAAATAACCTTCTTCTGAAAAAATTCTTTCTTCAGCACACTTCTGCCACAGGTGGGGAATTGGTCCCTCGGGAGCAGAGATATAGGTCCAGTGGTTCTAACATGTCTGGCTGCTGCAACTCCCAACACCTAATACGTTATGTGTTAAATATTAGTTGTCTTACCCGAAACTAAAGCTGCAGTGTGTCGTCACTGAAGCAGAGGAGGATTTGGGAAGTGGGAAGTCTTGAGTGACCAGTGCTAGCTGTTGTGCTGCTTTCTGAAGAAATAATCTATTCAGTCGATATATTTAGTGTAGGCTTTTTCTTTAATTATTCTGAAGCTGTAGAATAGACTGTTTCCATTTGGTTACAGAATTTATAAGTTGTTAATAAGTTTGCTGTAGTAGTGTAATTTGGTTGTTCCCATGTTTTTCTTGGGCCTGATCCAAAAATCTCTGAAGTTCTCCATTTAAATTGAATGGGTATTGGATCAGGCACCATAGTGAGTTGTTAGCTTTGTGTAAAATGTTTATTTTTATTTGATTTTAATCATTCCTTCCAGAATATATGGTCATGTGTTGGCAACATGTGTAGCTTGGTGAGTACAAATGAAGTTGACGTTTATCTGTATGATTTAATCGCTTGCAAAAAAAAAAAAAATCTGTTAACAAAACAAAGCTTTGGTTTGCAACCACGTGTTAGATCCACATCTGGTTATCTGACATCTGATCTCTTAGAACTGTTGTTACTGTTGCTTTCAGAGTCATACAATAGTTCTAGTTGGAAGGGATCTTAAAAGATCATCTCACACCATGGGTAGGGACACCTTCCACTAGACCAGGCTGCTCAAAGCCCCATCCAACCTGGCCTTGAACGCTTCCGAAGATGGAGATCGTCTTCAGGATGGGATTATCTTCTGCAATTCTAAAGACGGAACCTTTGAAGCTTTATTTGGTATAATGAAGTGCTCTTTTCTTCTTTTTTCTTCCTTTTTTGATGTGATGAACAGGTACCAGGAGCGGATAAGCGATGTGCACTGCCCTGAGCCCCAAGGCACGCGGGCCTGGCCTCTCCGACATGCACCAGTACAGTCAGTGGCTTGCGAGCAGACACGAGGCCAACTTGCTGCCAATGAAAGAGGATTTGGCCCTGTGGCTCACAAACCTACTGGGTAAGGCACAGTAGGACGGAATTCAGGGACTGGGCAGTAAGAATACTCTTTCCACTGGGAATTCAGACTCTTTTGTACATCAGAAATAAAGGTAGTTATGATTAGGTAGCTACTTCCACGTAGTGCAACTGCTGGCAAGGTCAGAAAAGCTAATGAGTAATTTGCATCCACAGTGTTTCTGTGATAGAATAACTGAACCTTATTATACATCTCCTGTTTGTTTTTTCAAATTCCCCTCTAATTTTTTTTTACATGTGTTTTCTGTATTAATACCATTAAGCTGAATGATGCTAATTGCTGCCATCACCCATGTTTTCCATTTTTATTGATAAGCCTCCTAAAGAATACGGGTGTACTGACTGTCTTGAATAGAAGGAACCATTAAATAGTTCTTTGCTGACCAACCAGTCTAGTAATTGATAAGTGCTGCCCAAGGCAGTGCATGATAAGACTTCTGGAAGTCATTCGTAGAGGGGTTTGACCTACCACAGCTGGACCTGGGGATTTACACCTGCCTTGGTGTGTGAAGCCAAAGCATGTTGTTGCCAAAAGAGGGTGCAAACCAAACACCCAGAGAAAAAAATCAGGTACATGTGAAGGAAGAGCGAGTCCCTGAAGAGAAGAGAGATTGTCCCTGGCAGGAAGGAGAGAGACAATACTTTGAGATACACAAATCATTCCTGAAGGTGTACAATTTAGAAATTAGGAGCCAGGAAATAATATGCTGTTTCCTGAGATCAGCTCAAGGAAAAATGGTTTTTGGGGGATCCCTGCAAGTCCAAAGAATACCACCAAACAAATCTATGACTTGTAGAATACCTCATGCTAAAGGAACCATGCCAGCAATTCCTCTCATTAAACAAAGAGAAGAAAATATTTTGGAGGAGGTGATGGTTTCATGAAACTTTTGTTCATGTTATTTTGGAGGAAAAATTTGGATAAGCACTTTTAAATTGGTGTGTGTGGTTTTGGAGGGTTTATTTAATTTTTGTTTTATTTTCTGAAAGTCTGTTCTGCTGAGGCATGGACAGTGTCTTGTCATGGCAAATGCTGTAGTTAAACTATCTCAGTCAATTGATGTCATAAAATAATGGAGTATATCCAGTGTCTTTCATCTGTACTGTATTAACTCCTTTTTTTAAGAGAAAGGGAAATACCACCTTTTAAGAGATGTAGTCAATCAGTACAGTGTCAGTAGAATGCAAGAACACATTATTTTTCAGGTAGATGATACCCATTTTAGAGTTGTTGCAGTTATGAATCCATAACTGCAAAAGTGGCATGTGTTTTAAATGACATACTTGTGTGGTACTTCAATTTAAATTAATGAGTTTGGAATATAAAATTGTCTAGGCAATTCCGGAACAAAGTTCAGAAATACTGACTTTTCATTCCAGTTACCACAGGACAGCAATCCAAGTGACTGTTTTTTGAATCAGAAGCAGCACATTCCATTAAGGATTCAGTATATTGTTTAAATGTTTTAAACAATGAAGTTTTCATGATCCACTCTAAAACAAATAGAACCTTGTTTGCAGTTGGTAACAGAGTTCTCCCACTGATAAGTTTAGGAATGAGGTCACTTTTTGAGCAAGGAAGTAGCAACCAGCAGGAGGTTCTGAAATGCCAACTATAATTAAAAATCTGATTTTTCATGTGGACACCAAATTCTGCACTGCAGAACTAAATGGGTACAACCTTCTTTTAATTAAGCAGCATATACAGTTCATTTGCTTAATGCATCCCCCCCACACCTTCTCACTCTTCTTTTCTCAGAGTTTGTGCTGAAGAATTGAAATTACAGCGATTTGTTAAACCACTTTGCATTCCTGTGTAGACATTGTTATTCAAATTAATAATTCAATTAAGTTAAAATTCACATTCAGAATAAATTAAGTGTAAGTGAATTAAAATAATTATTATTCATAAAAGTATATTAACTCAGAGTTCAAATCTGGTTTAATTACTGCATAATTTGGATTAACTTTAAATAGAGTAGGGATGTATGAGCATGTTGCTGTGTGATAAAGTAGATATGAATTTACAGCATGCTGTTACCTTGTAAAAACCTGTTTGTACTGTCTAATTTTTCAGCATCTGAAAGGGTAGAAGAATATGGAAGACTTCTTTTGTTTGTTTTGTGGTTTGTTCTTTTCTTTACATGGGACAAATAATGTATTTTGCATTAATGGTCAGTAGATTTTCACATGCAAGGATGTGCAAGTAGCACAGACCAAATAACACTGTGTGTCTCCACACCTTAGCTTGCTCTCTCCTGTATCTTGTGTAGCCTCATTGTAAGTGTCATTTATGTATGTATAGTAAGCCTCATTTATGCCAGTTCTAATGCAATAAGGTTTCTCAATTTTTAAAGCACACAAATATGCATTTAAGTTAATTTTTGCCATTTTGGTTCATGTTTTGTTTCATCTATATTTTAGTCATATGTACTCAACATGGACGTAGAATCTTTGCAAAGAAACATAGATTAAAAAAAAAATAGTATTTTAGGCAAAAATAGGGCTGAACCTCTTTGAAGCAGCTTGATCAACTGATGGTGTTTTAGGAAATTTTTGTGGAGAGGCAATTGTGTCCTACACAGTGTTACTGGAAGTTGAAAAGATTACAGTCTTGCAGTAGCAAAGCCTGGTGTGGGTTCAAAATTACAAACTGGAAAACATTTTCAGGATATTGTACTTTATAATATGAATGAAGGATTTTGATATCAGACAGAAGGTAGGCATAGCTAGAGTTTGACCTTACCCAATTGGTAAATTAGAAGACTGAGATATGTGGTGCAGCTGGAAAATAATGCTGTGAGAATCTTTAACCCTGAGACTTTAGACATTTTATTCTAATTTAGCATGTTGTGGTTGTTTTGGGTCTTTTTTAATATTCACTACTACTTTTGTATGCATTTTGTTAATTATTTTTGGAACCATGTCAGAGAAACTCAGAGCTTCTGAGAGGACAGTTTGTCGTTACAGCTCCATTGCTGAATAGATTTTAGCTGTCTGTACTCTGGGGGATGGAAAAAGGACATTGCAGATGAACTCCATGTGTCAGATAGGATTAACTCATACAATATTGTACATTATAGCATTGGGGGGGTTGTGGTTTGCATGCTGGAGAGAAAGATTGGAGCTATGGGTGTTGTGTCTCTTACCTTTGCTTCTCTCTGCTGAGCTTTGGTACCTCAGTCAAGAGTGGCAGTGGCAAAGTTAAAAAGATGTGTTAACCCAGCTGTCTTGCAAGTCATGATCATGTCCTAGCCTTGCTTTTAGTATGTATAGAGCCAGTGAAACACTTGGGAATGCCTTCATGGCTGACAGACTCCAAATTTGGTAGATTATATCTATATACTTTAGTAGAATGCTCTTGTGGATGCTAAAAAGTTCTGTTCACCTTTAGCAAGCTGCACATGGGAATTAGCACACTTGGGCCATAGTACTCCTCTAGCAGAGGGAAAATAGCAATTTGAAAGGTTTGCTTGCCTGCCTTACTCTCCAGTACTTTCTTGTTTTCTCTTGTGTGTCTGCAGAAGCAAAGTGGCTGATGTGAGGAGGGGTGGGCCTCACCACCAGCCTGGAGTTTAGCACAGGTACAGAGAGATGGTCTGTGTTTCCTCTTTGGCTGTTGTGTGGAGCTCTCATCTCTCTACTCATTCCCAGAATTCATTTACAAGCTGCAGAGGGTTATATTGTCTTTTACTCCATCCAGCTTCATTTAGCACGTGGGACCACACCTTGGGCACGTGTCTGAGCTTCAGGGTTTCAGTGCTGAGGCCTCTTCCAAACAGCTTTCTGGGCTTCAGAAGCTCGTAGCTGAGTGGCTGGAGGATGCAGTGTGCTGAGGAATTGGACATGTAAATGTTGAGTGTGGTTTGCACACAGAAGTTTCTTGGATACAAAAGAGAAGGAGGCTTGGATAAAAAGGAGCACAGGGGCAAGGATGTTAGGAGAGTTGAAGACCAGGCTAGGTATTTAAAGGTGTGTTGCAGGAGGTGTAAAGTTTGGGATTGAGGAGTAGGAAGTCTTGTGCAAGAGAACTCTTTCTTTGATTCTGAATTAAATCTTGTTCAGCTTAGTGTTTTTGTTCCACTTGCTGTCTATGGGGGTTCTGTAACAGTATGTTTATTTTCAACATCAGTTTGTTCAGATCAAGCCAGTGGGAAACGCAGGTCTTTGAATGTCTTGATATTCAGACATTTTAATGCTGATACTTCCAGTGATTCTGCTGGCATTGGTACAGTTTCTCTCTTAGTTGAGTGGCTTTATCTAATTCTCTTTACTATCAATGGAATTGTTTATATGTCCCACTTCAAGTAAGTGATAATGTCTCAGTGCTTTCAAAACCATTGCTTCTGCTGTCAGTTTGTGGGGTGTTAACAGAGTAGCCTTGTCAGAAGATAACTAGTTTTGTATGTGCATAAAATCACTAGCCTTTTGTTTTCCTTATTTTTGTCACAGTTTGTTATTTTGGGTTAAAGCACTGTAGATGTGTTTCAGAGATT